ATTTTCTGTTATTTGTACTTTGTGAAGGCAGCATAAATTCAGGCGGGGGTCTGGTAGGGCACTTGACACTTTCCCATGTTGCTAAAATAGTAATTTTAATCTTTAATATAGAATATAGAAGAAATTTTTGGAAAATATATATTTTTTTATGTGCAGACATCAAAACTCTCCCAAAGCCTTTTATCTAAAGTTATTTGGATTGTCATAATAACGACATTTCTTTGTGCCAACATTTATGAATCCATGTCAGTATTTTGATTTTAGCCAGCCCTTTTTATTATTCCAATGAATGTGAATTTTTACCACTCCAAATGCCTGTCAAAATACCCAAGTAGGCACCAACTCTCTAGGTTGTCCTACCAAAACCCCTGCCAGTTCATAATATATAATATACTTCATTATATTATATAAAATGGTCACTGTCAATTAACTTGACAAATAGAAAAAAAAACAAGAAAAAAAAACGAACCGATGTAACAACTTGGCTAAATGCTATGAGGGAATAAAATTAGTAAAAGCTTCGTCACATATACACATATACGCTTAAATAATACAACTGTAACAACGATTAAACTGTTAATGGCATGATGAATAAATATATCTATTATTTATATGTTATGTATTATGCAGTCTGTGGATACCCGAGTTATAGTAAATTAAACCTGTCGCTGAAGGAAAGATTGTTTTTCAGAGTCTATTATATATTATATATATAAATATAACTGCGATACAGGCTAGGTTGAGCAATAGTATACTATGTATGGTATAAACAATTAAAAATATAAACCATCTATAAACAGAGGAAGTTTACATATTGTAATAAAGCTTTGTGAGTTTATAAAGTGCTGTAAAACAGTCTCTCCTTAAGTAATTAACAACTGTAGTAATAACAAGCATATAGTTATTTCTCTATTGTGTACGAGTATAAAAATAATATTGAATCTAACCTGGTCTATTGTATAATCCTGACAATCATATTGCCTTCAACGTTTATATCTATTTCTAACTATGATCGATAAAAATATATATTAACCCAGACGTATCTACAACTTAATTAATGCCAAGTTGTTACAAAGCATCGTGTTACAATACTATGAAAGAAATACATTTAACAAAATACATTATTTTTAATTTTGTACAGGTATCTATGTTTATTTATTTATCTATATTTTACCTTTACCCCTGATTATGCATAATGTACTCAATTATATACTATTTTTACATTAATAAAGTGATGATTTTTTACATGATATGGACTGGGACATGAAAAGGTATTTAAAGTCAGCTGTTTAAAAGTATAACTGAATGTATAAATTATACAAACAGCCTTAAACTCGAAAGAATAAAAATTTAAAAATTAGTATTAGGCATGACTTACACAGTGGATCATATAAGAGTAGTATTAATATGCGCAAATATTAAATATTAAAATTAATTAGAAAAGCCAGAATAATAAATTAAAAAATGGAATGATCAACACAAAAACATCAAATCAACATATATAACTAATTTATACACATAAATGATCACATATTATTAACCAAAAATCACATTTCAATATCTTCTTGCTCAGCCCTGTGTGCCTATAAATATTCTTACATATATATATATTATTTTTTATCAAGATTAAATCTTGGTCTAACATTCAATCAATTAAACACTTAAGAAATAAGAGGCACACAAATACTTCAGTTAGGCTAGCAAGACTTTTGATTCATTAAACATAATAAAAAAAAAATCACATTCTATTGAATACATGCCAGTACGATGCAGACGAACATAAAACCTCCCTGTTTTAATTTTGCATTACAAATGACACATTCTAAAATATAAAAATTATAAATGGAATTTATTTCATCAAAATATAAATATAATCTAGATTTTTCAGTCATTTGTACTTCTTTGGTTTAAAAATTTAAATTTTTTTTTAATTTTTTTTTTTGCCAGAGAAATAGAATGTACAACTATCTAGAGAGAAATCTTAATTTTAACACAGCACACTTTTCCAAAAGAATTTTTTTTCTATTTATTTTAAAGATATAACAGAGAAAATAAAGGCATTTGCACTTTGATGGAACGGTTAGGCCAGTGTTTCCGATAAAGTCTGCATTAAGTACTTTTTATTTAATATGTTTAGACCTTATCCCCATCAAGAACAAATAGTCAAGAACCATACTCGAGTATGAAATGAGACGACACAGCAAAATGATCATATAACCTAACACCGAATCTGCTTGAATATTATTTTATTTGTAACAATTTACACAATTATAACAAACACTGATAATATAAGATTTCTTGAAACTAGAACTGGTCACAATTAATACATTAATTGGACACAGATACTAATATTTAAATATAACGGGCTTATAATATAAATATATATATACACATTGGCACATTTATATTTTATATAAGATATGTTTTAATGAAAATATTTTTTTTTTTTTACATTTTACCTAAATATTTCACACCTACAATTTTTGATACATCTATGTTTTTTTGGATTTTTTAAAAATATTTTTCATTGACTTGGCCACTTTAATAATTTTAAAAACAAGTATTTATTTATTTTTTAAATACTCAACCCCTCGGGATAACAACTAAATATTATTCAATAACATCACATTTTCTTAAATAACAAAGTAAAGAAAAACAACGTTTATAAATAGTAAAGTTAACATAAATAAATTCATATTAATAAGAAAAATAATAAAGAAGAAAAAGAAGGAAAAAATAATTAAATAAAAATTTCTAATGTCCTAGGGACAGATATGTACATCAAACCCCCAATGAAACGGATAGATTCAAAAAATTAGCACATCACAATATACAACCATATAAACATTTAGAGTGCGATTTGGCCAAGTCAGAGGACATTTAAAATCAGACATTAGTAGTCAATAAATATTTGTCTTTATTTGTACTGGTAGTATTCTGTTTTAATATACTTCCAATTAACCGACAAGTGGCATTCTTAGAAAGATTGTGTCTAACACCGAAAGAACGTTTTAAAAATGTCTACGTATAATTCTACACGCCAGTCTGAGATCATATTTCTTTCCTCGATATAATAATCTTAACTATCTAATAATTTCTCATTTCAATTTCAACATTTATTAATAAAAATCGGTTCCTAAACAATCTTTCTGAGAAAATGAACCACTCAGAAGGATATTTTTACGAGAAAACTACATGACAATGCAGAAATATAATACGATAAAATAGAATTTACGTCCAAAAGTGACAACAAACAGAGAATACTGTGAGCTTTTATACAACATTGAACTACATATCAACATGATTTATTTAAATTTTATTTCTAATCATCATAATATTCTAAATATTATATTTTGTAAATCTTCCCTCTTTTACACCTTTCGAGACAATAATTTTTTTTCTCATCCATAAGTAAAACCTTTATACCTATATCAAAATGGTCTTTAAATTTACTGGGACCTTCAGATAATAGCGTAACAGGTTTGAGATATACTAAAGAGATAACCCACACTAGGAAGGAAAGGGTTTTATTTTCTTTCTTTAAATATATTATCAATTTCCTATTAAGGCATTTAATTTTTTTTTTTCATATTTTCCTAAAACAAAAACAGAAATGAGTAAAATGACATAAATCATTTTGAAACTACATCTCAGTCAGTGTATAACACATCTCGATTTTTGACCATCCAGTATTCTAAATTACTGTGGAAGAGCATTTTATAGTCAATATTTTATTGGCTCTTTTGTACTTCGGAAAATTAACCTAAAGAACACACAAGAATAAATATTTATTATTTTTTTTTAAATATATATAAAAATTCCTCTTCCAAAACCTGAGGTAGACGGTTAAGCCACATTTAGAAAAAGAGTTGTACTTTAGGTGACTAAGAGTTAATTTTGCTATGCATCTTTGATATGGATGGAAGATAGTTTATACATCATTCTCACCATCTTATATGTTGTTTTATAAGAATTATTAATTTTTGCATATATGATCGGATGAAGGTGTGTTTTAGGTGTGCAATATATTTTTTTAATTTTTTTTTTAATTTTTCTTTTCAAATTAACTTTAATATTATGACTAGTAATTTTCAAGTGATGAACAGAATGAAATTAAAAATATATATACAAGTAGGATCGAAAGATGAATCGTGACTAATGATGGTGCAAATGTAATAATGAAAGGGTAAAGGGAAAGAATTTATGTTCATAGAAAATTACCAACTGCCATAAGAACCCAGTTCGACATTAAGCCCTGATATTTTGTTTTTTCTGATGGTAAGAAATTCAAATGAATAGAACTTTGATTCTCTTTCAATTAAGATGCATTTTCTAAACTTGTGTCTAACGTTGCAGTGCACTATTTTAAGGCCTGATAACAATGAAGCTCAGATAAAAGATAAAAAATCTTTCTTCAGACTTAATCTTTTTTTTATACCTATACCAGGTACACATAAATTGTGCCTTCGATTGCTGATATATAAAGATAAAACAGGAGTCGATATAAAACCCATTAAATATTTTGTACCAGTTACATTTAGAATTTTTTTTTATTTTCTGACTATTTAATTTAAAAAAGGGGAAAAATCCCAATAGACAGCCTAATAGAATGCTGTGGTCCTAACGTACTTTGTTAATACACATTTAGCATAATTTAGGTACATACAAAAATAATCATTGAATATCAATATGATTCTAATATATGGAATGTAAATGTATTATGAAGGGAATAGTTCTCAAATCCTAACTAACATTGATATTTTTCAATTTGATTTTTACTTACTACTGAATCCTGGACTTGGGTAAGTAATAATGATTTGAGCATTTCATGTTCTTGTTAATGAAAATGGTGGTTCGGGATCAGGACAAAAAGGGAAAGAGAAAAAAATAGAAACAGAGAGAAAAGTAGCAAGATAGATAGAGTATAAAAGGGAAGGGTGGATGATATAAATACATATCAAGTGCTAGTAGGATGCCCAAGTGGGCAAGTGGCCTGCTAGTTATAGTGGTGGCTGCCCGAAGGCCGCAGAGGTCTTCAGTAGGCGCTTCAGCATCCCAGATGTCCCCCTGTGCTGGAGCGACTTGTGGGTTGTGAGTGAATTCTTAGTCCTGTATCGACGATGGCAGAACTCACACACATATAGGGTATCTGAACGCTCGTGCTTGTCCTGGAAGTGCCTCTTCAGGGAATAGTAACACGAGAAGGTCCTTCTGCAGTATGGACAATCTTGAGGCTCGTTGATTCCTCCGCTCAAGGGAGGGGGCATCGCTAGCACTAATGAAAAAAAATGTTTTGAAAATATTGATAGGATTAATTTTTGAAAATTACATGCATTACTTTTTAATCCATGAATAGATAATAAGCTAACTTATAAATAAAAAAAAGTTGGAAAGAATAATAGAAATTTTTCTGCAAATTTTTACTTCTGAGGGAGGTAGATAGACATTCATAGATTTATAATTTCCCTTATTGATTACTTAACTCTTGCCTTAATTAGGACCTTGACCCTGTCTAAAATGTCTAATGGACTAATAATAAATATTATATCTGATAGGGTATGAGGTATAACAAACAGAAAGTCATCTTGATAGTTCGACATTAGTTAATCTGACAAGTTTGAGACATCTTGGGAAGAAAATTTTGACCAGTCATAACAGGAAAATCAGAAGAAAGGGGATTGTTTTTCTATCACAAAATGTTTCTTACTTCTAGTCATAAAATAGTATTTGTGTTAGGAGAAACAAATGAAATCCGATAAACTATTTAACAAAACTTAGTTGCTGGTAGAGTTAAATGAAAACATAATTCTAAAAGATAAGCAACTAGAGTTTGATCAAATGTCAGAGACATTGTAGAGGGTAGAAATTTTTATTATTGAAATCCGGAATCAAAATATAAATAAAGGAAAGGAACAAAATACCAATTAGTGTATAGTTTCACCATGATTAAAATATCAATGATAAAATGAAACTTTTAACGAAACACAGTTGGTGGTCAGAGGTAAAGTAATTATGAGATTATGAGATCATCTTTCAATTCATTTAAATATTTTGTAAGTAATATAGGGGGGATTAAGGGAGAAATAAATAAATCGCGGTCGAACTATAGATATAGTAGACAATCAAGATTCAGAATGTGGGCGGGGTGGCTCAAACGGGCTAACGTGTGTGCACAACACCACCGTTGCCCGGCCAATCTATGAAACAATGGATTTAAAATAGTCTCGAGTTCGTATATCGGTGTCGGAGAAGTCTTTTAAGTCCCCGCCCACACCCCCTAGCCCGTGAAAACCCCATATAGCAAGGAAGGGGAGGACCCCCCAAAAAAAATCAAGATTCAGAAATTTACATTGGCCACTGGATAAAAATTAAAATCTGAATGCATTGAGGAAAAGAGGAATAATGTTGATATATAAAAAAATAAACAATTATGAAGGTCCACAAAAGGGGAAATTAAGTATCTGCCATGAGTATTAAACTGGAAACGTGAGAACAAACAACAACTGTTGTGAATAAGAATGCAAGTAACAAATACATAAATCAAAAGCCTGGAAAGATAAAGACTTTATTATTAAAGAGAATCAATTGCATTGTCCACATATATTAACGGGATTTGTAATTATTAGAAGAGTCAGGTTCTTCATTATGGCAAGAATTCTATGAATTTTGTTATTTTTGTCAAACCCTTCTTTATTTATACCAGTTAATCCTGATTTAATGTAGAAATAATTATTTATTATAGTGGTATTCAGTAGAATTAGCAACCATAATAATGTGATATCACATTCCTAATCCAGTTAAATGTAAATTAAATTAGTTAGCTTTTGTATCTGTACATGTAATGGTGATATAATTTGATAAATGTTAGATATGAAATACTTAAGCCAAAACTAAAGTTAATGTAACTTTAAATTAAAACTCTATTGTAAAATAAAATAAAATTTTGTTAGAACTTCTGGGCACTACTAAAGCTACTATAGCATAAATTTCAATTTATTTAAAAAATATATTTGAAATGATTTGGATCTCTTAAAATAAATATTCAAATCAACTAAATTTTAAATATGCACTATTTTAAGCATCAATAGAAAAAAACAAAAAACAAATATAAAATGCCATATTATTCTTCTTAACAAACCAACTGAACTTACTTACATTGCAGACTTTTGTAAATATAAATGTTAAAATAAAAATTAAAGAAATGGAGAAGGTTTTTAGACTTTTGTACCATGTTTTAAGCTTCTTAGTGATAAAAATACAAATTATGTAATAGCATATAACAAGAAAATTCAATAGGTCTTTAAAACCAAGAAAGTGAGTTCATATTTAATAAACGAAAAATGTTAATAAAATTTAAAAATTCTTATATCATTTTTAAAAAAACATGATTACGGAGCAAACAAATTCTTATAAAAAATATTTTGCTATTGATATAGAAAATTAAAAGTTCTAAAATTGCTAAAAGTTGATAAATGACATGTTTTTTAACCTTCTTGACATGATTATATTTTTTGATATATTTCAGCTAGTTTTTTTTCTAAACAGAAATAATCAATTTTAGTATCTATTTTTTCTAAATAAATACTGATTTCTCTAATAATTCAGATCGCTTAATCAGATGGAAACATGCCGCATTCTGTAAAAAATTATTATAGTTCTGAAGCGTATTTAAAAAATAAATAAAAAGTAGTCGGGATAGTTCTCATGAGTTGTTTGTATTTTTATGAGTTCTCAAGCCTTCGATGCATTATGAAAAAGGGTTGAAAGATAATCACAATTCACATTATTGATGAGGAACATTGCTGAAGTTACTTCCTTTACTTTAATTACTTATTTCTTGTAATTACCTATATATTCTACATTAAGAATAACAGCATGACAATGATAATAAATAAATCTGTTTCAAGAAAGAGATAAAACCAACTGAACGAAATTTCACCATTTTCAAAACTGGAGCTAAGTACTTCAATGGTATTCATCCAAACACGTTTTTGTTTTATTTAATTGAATCACTATACACTTGTAACTCTTTAACTTGTAACCCTCATGAAGAGTTATAGGCTTATTATAACATTATATTTTTCTAATTGATTTGAACATACAAAAATGACATTCCCCACAAATCTATGGAATATTAGTGAAGAATTTTATATTCAAATTTATAAATAAAAATATTTTATTTTAGTTCAATGGTAAAAGAAATTTGTTACTATGCAATTAAGGTCAAATAATATCAGATAATGACAGCTAATTATGTGATAATAACAGAATAATTTTTTTTTTAATTTTTAGATTATTATAATACATTTAAAAAAAATAAAAGATTGGCAAACTTCTTTCCCATTTTTTATTCTAGTATTTTTCATTTCACTATAAAGAAACATTTATAAGAAATTAAATAAATTAAATTAGATTTAGCTCACTGATAACTTAATATTACCATTTTGTTTGTTTGCTATAACTGATTTAATTTTATTTTTTCAAACATTTAATATAAATTATTGGTATTTAGAATTAGAATATTAGTGGTTGAGTTGACCATTTTCAAAACGAAAAGTAGATATACTATCATAGGATATAAATATTTTGAACCTGTTTAAGTGATGCTTAAAGAGTTAAAATCATAACATTTTTTTCAAGTTTTCCTTTTTAATTTTGAATGTTAAGATTAAGATTTGCTTAAGAATTGTTTCTTATAGGCATTTAGATTTCTTGTGATTACTTTAAATATGAACTCATAATATTGAATATTAATACAATAAAATAAAATCTCCTTGCTTGAAATATTGAAGGATAATCTTAAATAGAGTAAGTTCTATCCAATCGTACGATCTTGTAATAACTTGAAAAGAATTTAATAATAATAATAATAATAATAATAAGGCTTAGCGAACCCGAAGGTTCGATGCCGACACCACCAATTGAAAAGAATTTAAAAAAATAAAATAAAGAAATGGTACATTGTTGCAGTAAAAATTTATACTAAGAAGAAATGAAACATGGCACAGAGTTGTAAATCCCCTCCTAAAATATAACTGAAACTTGTCCTTATAGTCTGAGGTATACATTAACTTTCTTGAAGAGAAAGATAATGCAAAAGAATTGTACCTGATATCGGGTTCTAAAATTTGACATCTGTCGGTGGAGTTGTGTGGTGGTAGTAATCCGCTGCGGCAGGGGGCCGCTGCGTCTTGTGATAGGTGTAGATGTGAGTCATAAGTGAATTCCTTGAACAGTAGACTCTTTCGCAAATTGCACAGCGATATTCTTCGTGCCTAGAGGCGTGCTTGTCTGCTACATGCCGCTTGAGGCTTGCCTTTGAGCACAGTACTTTTTTGCAAGCGACGCAAGTGAACATTTTACGTAAACCTAAGACACCCGCAAGACGAAAAAACAAATAATTTGCGAATCTTTTTATTCAATTAAAAAAAATAATAATCGAAAATTGGTTGTTTTTGTAATAATGGACCGTGAGTCATAGCCTGAACTCACAATCATTTAATAAAAATAAACAAAACAAATCAAAGAATAAATTAAATGAAAATTAATAAAATGAAGAAAAAAGAAAAAAAAAAAAGAAAGAATATATCTGTGGCTAAATACAAATAAAATAGACTATTTAAAAATATATTTTAATTAAAAACAGAAAAATTAAAATAAAAAGATACCACAGATATTTTCCCAAATAAAATAAGCTTAATTTAATTAACAAAAAAAAATACACTACCTTAACCCAACTCTGGTCCATTACTACACATTACTTCATTTCATTAGCACTTTACTTGAATTCTTACATTTGTAAAATAACAAAACAATATAGGAAAAGAACAGCAAAACAGTGAAATATGAAGATTAAACTTGTGAAAATAAATAGGACAGAAACCGATAGAATTTATAAGATGATTAACGATGATAGGTATGAAAATAAAGGACTATGGACAGAAATGTATTAACCGAGCCACCACCAAGTTAGGTTTCACAGCCGTAATTCCCAAACCATGCTCTTTGTGTCTGAATTAAAAATATACAGATATAGAGAAATGAAAAATATATATATCAAAGAAAGAATAAATCAAAATTAAGATGAACATCTTTATAACACTGAGAATAAAAAAAAAATAACATCGAACTATGACTACAAATTAACTGTTACAAACAGGTAGGTAAAGGGATATGTATAAGGTAGCTCAAGGATGTATTTTGAAATAACGGCCGTGGAAACCTAATCGGGTCTAGCACTGTCCATTGTCTACGTTTATTAACAATGAGTTAAAACCGACCGATCAATTTTCCCGGCCGTTTTAAATGTTTTATTACTAGTAAAACATTTCACGAAACTTTGATTTTTGTTTTTTTATCTCTCCTAAGACTGAATTATTCAAGAGATAAATAATAACAAAAAATCAAAAATTAAGAATCCAAAAAACAAAACAAAAGGAAAATTAATATATATAATAAAACACCAATAATCCTGTGCCATGCTTTCAATCGTTTGTTTAAATGACCAGATTTAGAAATATGTCTGCAACGTAAGTAAGTTATCTTGCAGTTCATACCAGCCTCTTTTGACGTTTCTCTCTTGCTTGTAGACTATGGACAATGCCAGAAATTCTAAGTGATGGGTTTCAAAAACTTTAGTAATGAAATGAGCATGCCAACAAGTAAACAGCTATCATAACTTTATTTTAATATTTTTACCGGCTTTAATTAAATATACGATATAGTTATACTTTCTGTATAATAGGAATTTAATTACCAAGAATCAAATGTGAAAATAGAATACTAGACAACAGTGAACACGAAACATCGAAATACTAACCTACCATGTTAGCTGCTTACTTTTCTTCCAGATAAAAAATCTACATAAGAAGGACACATTTCTATCGGGATAAACAGGAAGTCTTAGAGGTTCATTTTATCATCATTTTAGTTCTGCTTTGAAGAGAAAAAAAAATCATTAATTAAACTCTTAAATTGAACTTTTTTTTTTCATGTTACATGAAAGATAATTTCATGTGAAGATAATTTTTTTTACTTTAACATTGCTTATAATGAATTTGATTAAACATGGCTAAATAATGATCATGGTGTATTTTTTTTTAATTTAGAAAAGAAAAATATCTATCTTAAATAAGAAATAAAATATAACAGGCACAGCTAGATTCATGCTCTTCTTATGTAACTATTTCAAGAAAAATTATAGCTTCCAATACATTCTTTATTTGTATTTATAATAGACCCATTTTGCTTTGAATAGCAAGAGCAGTGCATTTAAAAGCCTCAACTTCTAGGATATAATAACTTTTGGAATTTACTAAACTGTAATTTAAAACATGACCCTTACAAGTTTCTTATCATTAGATTTAAACAGTAATATGAGATTCATTGTTGTCAAGAAGTTTTTGATTGCTACATCAAGAAAACAGGGGCTTAGCATTCCCTCTAAAAGAAAGGAAGCACTACCATAATGGTCATTAAGTTTTGATAATAGATTAAACCAAATTCCACAAGAATTTTTTTTTTCTTTGTGACAAATATCTCCGCACCTTTCTTTAGAAAGGTTAAGTTCTTAACTTTTATTAGATTATGATTTGCGGCATGCTAATTTAACATATTAATAGATAAGAATATTAATGAATAAAATTACTTAATATAATTTAATTCCACAATTTTTAAACAATTTCATTATAAATTTATGGAATAAATACCGCATTGGGAGGAAGTGAGAACATAATACTCTCATAAATAATTATTGTAATAGAGTGATAATTTAAAATGTAGCATTTTGGAGTAAGGGATTACATTTTGTAGTTTATGACTAATATTCTTAACCGAAATGAATTTAAAAAAAAAAAATTGGAATAGTGAAATAGGTTTCCGCCCATTTCCTATCAATATAGGAATTTTTAAAATTTGAATAAATGGAAAAAAGGAGAAATTAATACAAATCCAAAATTGAGCATAACTGCACTTTATTGTAGAACCATTATCATGTCACCAGAATAAATATTAGTGTATATCAATTATGTAGGTATTAAAATATATGTTTATACATAAAATTGGCAATTTCAAAAGTCACTCCTTTCCTTATATTAATCATATTTTGTTTAATGACATGAAAAATTATATTATTAATATATATATATATATATAAATTTGTCAGGGATTTTAGTAAATTTATTAGTTAATTAAAAAACTATTCAATATTTTTAAAAAAATCACAAGTAATAAACTTTAGAATGCTAATATAAAACTAGTAATAATATAACAAAAATATTTCTGTTTATTAATATAACATTCTAAACTTCTATAACAGATAAAACAGTCAATATTTTAAAAAAATTTAAATATTAACATAAATTGGTTTAGTTAAGGCTATAATTTAATAAGAAAATAACAAGATAAATATATTTATTAATATTATCTGTAGTTAGTGTTTAGTCTTTTATTATTCATGTATCAACCGTAGTGAAAATTAGGTGGTGGTGGATTAGAGAAATTAGCGGGCTGGTGTTGTTGCTGTTGAAGTGGGTATCGCTTATCATGCTGGGCTCTGTTCTGGCGGTGGTAAACACTTTTATGGTTCCGAAGGCTACTAATGGTTCGGTAGCGCTTGTGGCAAATATCGCACGTGTAACCGTGGTCGTTGTTGGGGCGATGACAAGCAACCGGTCGGCCCGGCCTCTGCCAAACCCCTGCAACATCGACCCAACAGAACTTTAGTACGACATTTACCCCGAATCATCTACCGTTTTATTAATTAAGTAATATTTTATCACTATCATTATTAAATTGATGTTAAGTGATCTTAAAGTAATATGCAAATTTATTGAATCTTTTCCTATTTTTAATTAACTTTTTTCTTTTTATTTATTTATTTTTTTGTATATGCTTTATCAAAATATAAAATTAAAATAAAAACAATCTTATCTTTTCTTTTCTTCAATTATTTTGAACATAAAACATATACAAAAAAACTAAACAAAAACAAAACAACCAAAAAAACAAACAAAAACTTAGTTCTTACCAACTCAAACATATAATAAACAAAAAAAAAAAAAAAAAAATTATTCTGGTGACATTCAATTTGATATGTTATTAATTAGTTTTCTTTCTTTACTTAATTTTTTTATAGAACTAAATTGATGATAAAATAAATTTCTAATGCATGCACACAAAAGAACAAACTAAATAATAAAATCCTTAGAAAATACTAAAAACACACAAGTAAAACATTTATCAATTGGGTTTAATAACATATAAAATGGGAGAGGAAAAAGCATCTCAATGAAACTTACCTTGTGATGAAGTTCCAGCGAGACCATCTGAATTACCAAGCGCGTGTGCTTGATTATTTAAACCTATAACAGATTTTAAAAAATGTAATTTTTTGAGTTATTAATTAAATAATTAATTATATTTAATAATTAAGAGCATGTTATCTAAAAGAAACTCCACCAATATTTTTTGAATAGAGTAACTTTCATTAATAATAAATTAAAGAGAATTATAATTTTATTTAATCCTTTCCATCACTTTTTGGACAGCAACAAAGTTGTTGAACAAGCATATTGTCACCACCATGTTAATATAACAAATGTGAAAAAACACATTTTTGGAACTCATTACTTTTCTTAATTTACCAGAATACTAGAAGGAATTTTGAAAAATAAAAACAGAAATATAGGACTTAGAGAAAGAATAAGGCCGGGTGGTAAAAAGAAATTTAGAAAATTTAAAGTAAGCCATAGACTATTTTTTTCTCTGAAAAGTAGAACATATTCTCATTTGTTACACCAACATGTTTGCAACAATATGACAACTATTTATTTATTATCATATTTTAAATAATAAGCAAATGTGATGCATTAATAAATTAAATTTCAGAAGGCCATGAAAGTAGAGGAATAATAAGATAATATCAAGAGAGCATAATCTTATTAGTTAGTTTGATTTTTTTTAACCACTAGTTCATATATATTTTTTTAATTTAAACATAATTTATTTCATTTTTATTTTGTAAGTATTGGCTCTTAAATTTATAGAATGATTTTCAATTTTTTTTATTTTGACTTTTAAAACAAATAAAAATTTGGACATATTATTTTGAATACTTATAAATATTCAACTACATTGATTATTGATTATATTGATTTAATTCTTACGTTAAAATATTTTTTTCAAATAACAAAATTCTTTTAAGAAACAAAAAAGTTTTCATACATTTTCAATAATTATACTTGTCTCACAAAAACAAAAAAAAAAATATTTTCCTTACCATAAATACTCATTATTCATTAAATCACTGTAATAAATTTAATGGAATTGATCTTACTATTATGACTTTCCAATAACATTATTACATTTTAAAAATTGCATTTCATTGGCAAAAGTATGAAATAATTTCAAAAAATGTTGATTTAGTGTTATTTTATTTTTACATTTAGTTTACGTTTACTATTACAGTTAGTTTACAATAAATGTTAATTCTTCTCATGATAGTTCAGTGTATTCTGAGTAACAAATAAGGGATGGTATGGTGGATGGACAGTTTCATTCAGAAAAAGAAAAAGGAACGTACAGAGTGAGTGTGTGTGCGCGTAAAATGTCTTTTACTATAAGTAGTTTTCTTGAACACTCTGTAACCATAACTTTCCTCTAATTGGAACACCCACTCTTCCCCCTGCAGCAATTAGTTCGCATTGCTGAGATTGCATAGTATATTATTGGATAGTGCACATTGTAATTCAGATTTTTATTTAAAAAAAAAATCATAATACTAGAGCAAATGATTTTAGGATTGCCAGTTATAAAAGCATGTTTGATGCAAAGCATGTAATATTAGTGTTTCAAGTATTATATTTAGAATATTTAAAATTAGATTGTAATTCTGTCTATAAAAACTTAAAATGAAAATTATATTATTAATAATATTAAATGAAGAAACCCATCTATAAAACTCATTAATTACTAATAATATTTCAGAACTTTAATTTATTATTAAAGCTACAATGTAATAAATTTAAATTAATATTGTGACTGTAATTACTACAATAATAATGCACCAGAACAGCAAAAATTATTTATTTTATTAACCTTGTTTTTGATTTACCACAAAAGGCAAAAGAAAAATAAATTAAAAGGATATTTCATTATTAAAAAGCAACCCATTTTTCTTTTTATATTTTATATTTAATATCCTAAACGAAAACTCTATTTCAATTATCATCAATATAAATGTTTAATTCATTTTTATCACTTAATAATAAACATTTTAGAACTATCTATTAGTAAAACTAATCTTATTAATTTCAATGTCTTTTTTTTGGTTTTTCATTATTCATTAAAAATATAAATAACTGTCAACCAATAGATTATTCTGAAGAACTTTTAGACAGGGTAAATCCAATAGAAATACTTATAAACATTGGGCAAGTTCCTTAAGTCAGTGCTGAGCTCATCGATGGCTTCATTTCAAATGAAATTTTAATAATCACTCGATTACAGAAAACAATTGAGAATAAAAGCAAAAAGTTTATAAATTCTATTTTCGTAAGAAATTTTTATTTACATAGAACTAGAAGTTTTCCTCCTTAAATTTCTCTTTAAAATATTATTTTAAGGCCTTTAAATTGTGTTTAAATAGACTTAAAAAAAATTCCAACTAAAATATTTTCTTAAAATTAACATTAATGTAAAAGGTATCATGTAAGTACAGGGAGATATTTAAATGGGTGATAGTAAACATAATGAGCTTCAAAAAACTTTATACAAACCGTGGATCGATTTTCTGAAGGAAATTAAAGTTCTGTATTTATTTAAGTAAGTCACATTGTTTGTTTAATAGAAAGTGATAACTGAACAAATATTTAATTTAGGTAATTAACTATTGCAACATAGTAAACTAGAGAACATTTCCTTTAAATTAATGTAGAGTTTATGTTTATTAAAGTCATTTGAAGGAGACTTTTAAGCAGCTAAACTGTGCTAAGTTCTGTTTTTCATAAAAACATTGATCATCCGCTGTTTTTTATTATCAACCACCAACTGGGCTATGGATAACTCACTATAGTAAAAACTTTCTTGTTTAATAAGCTGTAAATCCATATTAATTAAGTGGAGGATAGTTACCAAATGTATTGAGTTTCCCTTCTAGCTGTGTAAACAAATTATATAATTTAATATTACTTCACTCTAAAGTACCTGTTTTTTCAGTAAAAATAACTACAATAAATTATTATAAAGCTTTAATCTATTTTTTTCCCTTCAATCTGAGATATACGATATTAAATTAATTATGAAACTACCCAATTTATATATAAAAATATATGTGAAATTCTCATGCCACAAATCAAAGAAGATATCAATACCAATTTAAAATAATAGTTTATTATTATTAATAAACATTTCTGAAAAAAATAAATCCTTTCATAAAAACGTAAATATTAGGATTATGAATATTTAGTTGATCTCTTAATACAATAAGAATTAATGCATGTTAAAAAGTCTGTGTAAACTAATTGATTATCAGTACAGATGATCGGTTTTGAAAAATCACTATATTTTTTTTATAAATTAAAAGGTTTTTTTAATGAGTAATTTATTATAATATATCCAAAGAAACAGAAAAATTTAAGCTTTGTATTAATTAAGTCATTATTTTTGTTTAAAATATTGCTAGAATATCACCATATAATTTTTTTAAGTATAACTATAGGTGAATCTCAATTTAGTTGATAAAAAAATCTCCATTTGAGTAATATGGATTTAAAGCTTATTAAAGAAAAAGAAATTGTTTATAAAATTGGTGTATCTGTAGTCCATTTGGAGAGCGAAAAAAAAATTGCTAATAATCCATGATTTTGTGAAAAACAGAACTTAGCATTGTTTAGCTGCTTATAACTCATCTAAACTATTATAATAAACAAAAACTGTACTTGTATTTAAAGGAAACTTTCTTCAGTGTACTATGATGAAATTGTAAATTATCTACATTAAATATTTGTTTATCAATCCCTTTCTATTTAATAAAAAAAACGTTAAACTTAAAAAAGTAACAAGGTTTAATTTCTAGTGAAAAATTGAACCATGGTTTATATTAGCTATATCATCCCATTAAATATTTTGATTTACTTAGAGGACACCCTGTATAAGGTGATTAATATTATAGAACTATTACCAGCCAGAGAGTCCGCAGCCAGAGCTGCTGCCATACTAAACTGAAAACCGGGTCCAGCAAAAAGTTTTGAATCGAGATAATTGTGAGCGCTTGGCATAGAGTCATCAGGGTCAGGAAGTTGCGGTGGCAGATGAGGAGGCCCTGCCTCCATCTCCCCTCCCGAATCTCCCGAATCATCTTTTTCATTTCCGATATGTGGCGTCAGTTCGATTGGCTCTGGCTTGATGTCTGATCCGGCAGGTGAACCGCTGTTTTTCTCCCGGCTATTGTTGTTGTTGTTGTTATTGTTATTGTTGTTTCCAGATGTGGTCGAGAAATCCATTGGTGGTTCTTCCATATCTCCTCCCATCAGTGGTGAGCGTTCAGGGTAACTGTTGGGCTCATTTTTCGGTCTTTTCGGTAAGCTACTGTCCTAAAATACAAAACATTCAAGATTGTTGAGAATATGAAAGATTTATAATTTTTGGTTAACAAATTATTAAATAAGAAAATGATAAAACAAGTTGAACTTATAATCAGAAAAATTGGCAAAAACAATTTTTTATGAAATATAAATCTAATGAAAGATAACTATTTTTCTCTTTTTATATATTTTTATCGTGACATAGATATGGTAGTTAACTTTTCTTTAATAATTTTAAATATCTAAAGGAATAAAATAAATAGAGAATATAAATATAAAAGCAATATCAACGTTAGTAGAAAATTCAATAATTTCTCTCACTCTCTCTCTCACTCTCTCTCTCTCTATCTATCTCTATCTGTCTATCTGTATATATTTTTTATTTTGTTTACAGTTATTTTGTTTACTGATTTTTAGAGTTTTATTATATTAAAATAGTATTGTTGAAAAAAAATATTTTTTTTCAAGAAAAAATGGGGGAACATTCTGTCAAACTTTCATAACATACTTTTTATAAGTAATTTTTTATTTGAAAAATCAAAATTCTTTATCTACAACTTATTCGGCCTATTACCAATGTTACCAAGTTTCCGATATTCAATCAACTAACTAATGGTTGTTTTGTAATAATACCTTATAATGTTTTGAATAAATAAATGACTATATCAGTTATATTTATAACATATATAATAAATGCAATAAAAAAAAAAAACTCATTACATTCAATAATAGGACTAAATAGATGAAAACTTATCTTTATATTTTATTGTTGCCATAAAACAATCCAACAAACATTTTTAATAATTTTGTTTACAAATTTAGAAAATACCAATTTTTTTTATTTCTCAAGTTTAATTAATATTATTTTTATACTACAATATAATCACGTATAAATGAGGAATAATGAGCAGAAAAAACAAAGATAATATTTTATAATTGGAAATAAAATTAGAAAATGTGTTATGCAGTGAAATAACTGTAAACAAAAAAACTATAAACAGAAATTATATAAATAGTTAATATTATTTTCTAAAATAATTTATGAAAAGAAAATTCAAGATTTAAATTTTAGCAACAAAGAAAGAACTTTTATTCACAGAAAAGAACTATTTGATTAATATCACTATCATAGCTAAAAATAAAAATAATAAATTTCTACAGCTTATTCAATGTCAATGAATGTAAGTAAGCTTATAATCATGAAAATTTAATATATTTATTATTATTATTTTTATTTTTAGCTATGATAGTGATATTAATCAAATAGTTCTTTTCTGTGAATAAAAGTTCTTTCTTTGTTGCTAAAATTTAAATCTTGAATTTTCTTTTCATAAATTATTTTAGAAAATAATATTAACTATTTATATAATTTAGTTAAGAGTTTAAGTATAAAACTTGACTTGACTTCCTATCATCATTCATTTTAGAAGACATTTAAACTTTAAATTATTTATTTACACTTTTAATAGTTGGTTTTTTTACAAATAATTTTCAAACAACAGAACAAACTTTAGGGTTTATTAAGTGTTTAAATTAACATATATGGATATTGATAAATTTTAATAAAATGGAAATTATCATTAAAGGCTTTATGTTTTCCTGTTAAATAATCTCAAGCACTTTCAAAGACTGAATTTTGTAGAATAGAAACTATTTGTAGTATTTGAAGTTATGATTTTTCTATTCAGATTCTAAATTTTAAAAATAGACTATGGATTTTTATTATCAGCCATTTTAATTTATTTATCAATTGTGACTGTAAATTTGGACTTCAGGGGTTGATAAATTACTACAATAAAATGGAAATTAAATTAATTTTACAAATTTAACTTTACTTTCTATTTCAGCATATATCAAAGATGGATTAATAAAAAATTAGCTTTCCCATATGATGATGAGTTTGACCTACCTGACTTTCGAGATTTTCTGGTGTAGATACTGGCCTTTCCCGGTGTTTATGCTGTGGTTTTCTTGGATGGTGTGGAGATCCTCTACCATCAGGCAAGTTAGCACCTTTGTCCAAGCCCATCGAAACAGCCTGGTGTAAAATAATTACAAAAAAAATGTTAAATAAAAAATAATCGTTCATAATAAATATTAGTATTTTTGAAATATATAACTTACCCCACTCTGCTGAGTCAACCCACTCACTCTAAGAACTTCAGCAGTCTTCAAAAATGAAGAGAGAGATCTTTGCCTGACATTTACTTCACCGTGGTAAATAAATTCAACCAGTGCATGCAAATCTTCAAACATGACATCTTGGAGGACTATCACTGGATGTTTACATGGTGTACTCTGATAAAAAAAAAAAAAAAAAAAAATTTGTACCACACTATTAAAAAAGCTGAACACAACACCAGAGAGTATTTTTGAGAAATAATTGATTAAAAATTACCTTAAGTAGTTCTCTGAAATAAGGGCTACACGCTGAAAGGACAACCCTATGGGCCTTAAGGCTCTTCCCATCACAGGCAAGAGTCACATCCACAAAATCTTCGTCATCTCTCAAGTTTTCGAAAGCTGATGTTATACTCGATTGGTAATTGTTCCACCGCAGGCAGAAATGTTGCATATCACCCATTGTCCCTAAAACAGCACATATCATTTTATAGAAAACAACAAATAAAAAAACAAAAATAATAATTTTACCAAAATTAATTACACACATTCATAATATAAAATAGATTATTTTTTTTTATATTGAAGGAGGTTAAAATAACAACTCTTTAAACTTAAAATTACAGAGGAATTAATCAGAATTTATGAGAACCACTACCTAACATGATGATCACCAGATATTACAGCATCTAGACATGGTAATTTCAATTATCACCTACTAGGTCAAATATATCTCTATAAAGATTACTGACCGTTTTTTAAAAAACGTTTTATCTAATTCACACTGTAATAAGCTCCTTAGCCATAGCGAAAGATAACAGAGATAATAGAACTATATGCTAAATAAATAAAGGCAATTAAAAACTTGGCCTTGTGCCAAAAAAATTGAGAATAAAAAAAAGGAACTGGAAAAAATAAAGTTAATTTCGGAAGTAAGAAACTAACACACTCATTAATGTAATTCCTCTCGCAAAAAATATATATGTATAAATAAAAAAATATATAATTAATGCTTAAGGAATTAATATTAAAAAAAATATTCTAAAAAATGGAACGACAGAAATGATACAAACAATTTCCCAATCGGGAAGATTTCAATAATTACTAAGACTTTATTTGATCATTGTAATAATAAATTAATCAATCCGACTCTACGGAAAATAGATAAGAATCGTGGAGCTCTTATCAGCGCTGTTATCAAAATAGTAAACCAGGCGGGCAGGTGTTTTAGGGGCATTTAAGCGCTGGGATTCAAGAAGTGCGAATCAAAAAATAACATCAGAAAAAAACAATAAGTTGGAACAAAATACATGCAATAACAAACAACACAATGCAAGTTACCTCTCATTGATTCTGCCGTTTCCTCCACTTTCGTTCGATTTCTGATATGACTAGAATAAAAAAATAAATACTAATACTAAATATTTTCTCTCTTTTTCTATTTTTTTTCTAATTACGACTTAATAAAGATCACAGAAATTGTTTGTTGGCCATTGTTGTCTGGACCGCTACGGGCCGGTAAGTCATGCGCCCGGGTCGAGAGACGCACTGCTCTTGGAGAATATGTTTCGATCCCGCGCAGTGACTGTGGACACTGTTACTGTTCCCTCCTCACATACCCGGGCACGCACCGCCACCGCCGACTTCTCTTCGCACACTGACTCCCGCGCGCACTCTATCTCGATATATCTCTGATAGTGTATGTCTATATATATGTGTGTGTGTCTGTGTGTATCTCTGCCTGTATACGAGCTCGTTCGGAGAGAGACTGGGAGGGAGCTGTTCACTGCGCCGCAAAAAGCTCACTACTGTCAGAGGCGAGAGCTAGCCATAAACTATATGGAAGAGGGAGGAGAGAGTAAAATTGCATATTCGTATACTTTAATGAGACTGATTTCCACCCCTCAATTCGCAGGGCCCTACCCCCTCCCCCGAGCCCGCCCCTACAAAAGAGAGAGAGGGGAAGTGGAAAAAAATCATTAAATTCGTCCTCTCAACCCCGCAAACTCTAAAACAGCGCATGCCCACCGCTGAAAAATTTAATTCGTTTTAACCAACTACAGTAAATAGTGAACAATGTTATTCATGCCCCTCCTTTTTTTTTATTATTTATATTTTTCCCGACTTTTCTCTATTCCCTCACCAGAGCGCGGGGTAAAAACCTCCCTCGCTCCAACCTCCCCACCCCCTTCATCTCTACCAATGTAATTTGCGAGTTAAAATCAATACGGGCGGAATGAAAGTGTAAAGGAAAAACAGGGCAGATTATTACTACATTAGTGTGTGTGTGTGTGAGGCCCCTCCCACCCCCCACTCCCGTCCCTTTCACTCTCTTCCTCAATGTTCCCATTCACTATGTTCGCTTCCCCTTTTTTGTTTTGTGCTTTTTACTTATATACCATTTATTTTTAAACACTATTTCTTTCCGTTTCCATCAGCGAAAGGCTATAGTACGCTTTGTAGTAGTGTGTAATATTTAAATGTTTCAATGATTTTTTTTATAATTTTTTTTTCTTTTTCATTTAGAATACCAAAAAAAAAAAAAATAGATAAGAAAAAATTAAAAATCTGAATTTTTTCAAATTAATTGTTATTTCTTTTTCAGTAAAAAACAAAAATAATTAAATAAAAAATTAGATCACTTATTCTTTTCTAAATCATTGATATATAATATACAAAACTATCCTGCTCTAAAATCATTTAAATTATAAAACATACATAATAAGCATTAATAATTGAATTGTAAAGTAAAAATTTTTTGTTTAGGCCATTTATGGACAAACTTCACCATATTAAAATATATTGCATTTCCATGGTTTTACATTTTATTATTTTTCATTGCTATATGAAATTATTTTCATAGCAAGTTTTTTTTTTCAACAATTACTAATTTAACTAATATATTAAAACAGCATATATTTTATTTTGTAATAATATAAATAACGTCATAAATTAAAAAATAATATCAAGCAATTATTTTCCACATTATTGAACTATTAATTATATTAAAAGTTCACTTTAATTTTACTAACATTTATAAAATATAACTGACTCGATAACTATAACGATGAACTAAAACTAGATTCCCATTCATCTCGAGCTAGCTAGTGAAAGTATTGACGTCGGCGTGTAATACTATGAGTGGAGTACTACGGCACTATACAATTTAGAGGTTGCCACGGCAACCGTCCATGGTTTACTCTCCCATCAACTATTCCTGTCCCATTCAATTTACTCTGTCCTTTCAACTAGTTGCTCTGTTAACATTGATTTGAATTGATTATAGTTCTAATTACGACTGATTATTGTGTTTTAATTAAGTATTAACGCCGCCATTATTAATTACTTATATTAATTAATTAATTTTACTAAAACGTAGAAATATATTCATGTGCTAATTATTTATTTATCTGTTGTACTTATTAATTCTAATTAAAATAATTATTATTAAAACATAATTGTGCTATAATAAAAATTAAAATCTATCTGTATACAACATTTCTCTTATTACAGAAGCAATGTGATAATTATTATTTATTATTAACATTTTTGTATATCAGAATAAATATTAAAAGTATATCAAAATAAATATTTTGAGTTTTAATGTAAATATAAAGACCATCAGTGATTTTTTTTTTATATTTTTAAGTCAGGCAGAGTAAGTGGCAACACTGAAATGACCTATTGCCCGTACAACCGAAGTCAAAACTTTTGTCTTCCTAGTGTAACTCAGTTTTTAGTTGTTTTGTGTTTCTTTTAATGTTATTTCACCAGTTTGCGGAATATCCATCAACTAGTTTTTATCATTATAAGCTAAGGTTAGTTTTTATGCAATAAGTTAATTGAACATCTACAGGTAATGCTTGAAAGATGTTAATTTTCATTACTTCAGATTTCTTACCTCTTGAGACTAAGACAATTGAATTATTTTGTTCTCTAATTTTTATTTAAGACAATATTAATACTATACTCATTAAACAGGGAGAGTAAAATTAACCAAATTTTGAATGCATTGTAGTTAATGCAGTAAAAGGGTAGCAATTAAATTATAAGAGAGTTGGATTTTTAATATTGTGATTTTGAGAAATCCTTGTCGTTGGTCATTTTTGCTAAAACTGATTTATTGTTCTGTATATTTAACGTTTGAAATTATGTATATAAAAAAAAAGAAAAGAATTTCCCTTGTATAGCCTTTGAAAATTTTAATCTTTTTTTTGTTAAAACGGGTGTCACTACTTTTTCTTTCGGAGAAAGGATTAGATGGCTTTGAATTTAAATATATTTTCTTGAGCTATGTTTAAATTTGTATTATAGTTATTTTAATCAACTAGTTTTTATCATTATAAGCTAAGGTTAGCTTTTAAATTATTATTATTAAATTATTAAGTGAGATGTATCCGGGTAATATAATTGAGGTAATTTCATCGCGGCGAATCAAATGGGCTTGTAAAGTTGTTGGGCTTAGTAACGAGAGAATTCCTAAAAGGTTAATATTTGCTGTGCCGAATGGTAAGCGTCCGAGGGGTAGACCGAAGCGAAGATGGGAGGATTGCATTAAAGCCGATCTGAAGGGACTGGGTTTGGACGGCGAACGGTGGAGGGAGGTGTGTAACAAGCGATTGGTGGTGTCGGCATCGAACCTTCGGGTTCGCTAAGCCTTATTATTATTATAGTTATTTTAAAGGTGCGTTTAGACAATTTATGGAACAAATATATGAACGGTTGTTACGGCAAGTATTTTTGTTCCGTGTTTTTTATATTTTTCATCTGCTGTCGGTATCAAGAGAAATAAAATAAATAGTTTAGCTTAGCAATAATGTAACTGTTAGTTAAGTTCGATAATTGTGTATCTTTTAGTCTGTGAAATGTCTAAACTTACGTTAACATTTCAATGTTTTAATTTGCTCGAGGTATTTTGTACAATCTTATTGTATAAAAAAAAAAAAAAAAACCTATAAAATTGATAACGGTGAATGTAATACTTTCGCTTTGAAGGATGCAGAGATGCTCTAAGATGAAATAATTTTTCCCCGACGGAGATGAAGGGAATCAGGAAGTGATCCTCTGTCATTCCCCCCTATCCCTCCCCCCTCTAACAAGTGCGCCATCTATTAACTCTTCGAATCAATAACTTCCCGTCTCACTTAGGAATGGAATATTATTTTTTTGCCATCCTCTCTTATTCCTTATTTAAGCCCTAATATTAACTCGGCGAATCTTGTCAATCAGGGAAGAGGAAATTAGTTTTGTACATGAGTCGATTACTCCTATACTGTTGCGGTGGATGAAATAGAATACAGAAAAATGGAATTACTATTGAAACGTCCTTCCTTCGGAAACGAATATAGTTTTCTCGGAATAATTCTGACCTGCTGTGAGATAGTGAAATTTTTCTGAGCAGACTGTTTTTAGATAACAGGATTTTCTCGGTACAGTTGTTCTATTCCGTGGGTGGATAACTTGCGACCTATAGGGCACATATGGGATCCGTGACGTGGCTGCTACCTCCGTTTTTGAGTAATATTTATTAATCTAGTGTAAGAATAAATTAATATTTAATTATTTAACTTACGAAAATTTGAAAATTAATAGAATATGTTAAATATATGAATATGTGTATTCAGTGGTACATAAAAATATCAACAGTATAATATAAAAAAAATGCAGCCTCTATTAGCACTGAATAACCTTACAGCGGCCTCTAATGATAAAATTGTTCCCCACCTATGGTCTATTCATTAATTTGAAACTTGACCATTTTAATCTCTACTAGATGTAGTACATAATAACGTAATATTAAATTTAAAATAACACAAAACAAATAAGAATGAGTATTCTTATGATTTATTTTTTTAAAAACTAATGAATAATTAAAAAATAAAATAAAATTTTGAAAAATATTTTAGTTATACATGAGTGATAGGTGAATATAATTTATGTAATAAAAAAAAAACATATTCAAAATGTGTGATGATATATAAATATTTTGGATATGTTTTTTCTGATTACATAAATTATTTTTCACATATCACTCATGCACAGTTAAAATATTTATCAAATATTAATTTTGAATTATTTATTAGTTTTTAAAAAATAAATCAAGGAAAATATAGCTACACTGTACATAAATCCCTATCCCGGCCCTCAGAGCGATGGATTTTGATTTACAAGGTATCAACGAAAAGGAATTTCTTATGGAATTAACGAATACAAATTTCGAACCTTATAATCTTATTTGGGAGTAGGGTAGCTCAGCTGTATGGCACTGATCTGCCTATCCTCAATGTCCCGGGTTCGAATCCCGGCTCATGGCAGAAAAATAATTTATTCTGTTTCAATAGTCGTGGGGCGACTCTGAGGTCAGGAGACCTGGGGCTCACCCAGCCTCTATTAAATGGGTCCCCTTAATCAAATAATTAATCAAAGGAGAAAACCTGGCGGTTAAGCGTGATCTCAGTCTTATCTACCGTGTCTGCCGTTGTCCTGTCTTATTAATAAATTATTATCAATAAAGCATTTATCAGCAG